TATGATACGATGTATTGGTCCAGTGGTGAGGATTTTTGTTTTCTTTACATTGAGATGTAATCCATACCAAAGGCTGATCTTCATCAGTAAATGTTTTAAGTCCTCTTCGCTTTTAGCAAGCAGGGTTGTATCATCTGCATAATCACAGGTTGTTAATGAGTCTTCCTTCAATCCTGATGCCTTGCTTTTCTTCATATAACCCAGCTTCTCAAATTATTTGCTCAGCATACAGGTTGAATAAGTATGGTGAAAGAATACAACCCTGTCGCACACCTTTCTAATTTTAAACCATTCAGTGTTCCCATGTTCTGTTCGAACAGTTGCCTCTTGGTCCATGTACAGGTTCCTCATGATTACAATTAAGTGTTCCAGAATACTTATACTTCATAATGTCACGATCCACACAACTGAAAGCCTTTGCATAGTCAATAAAGCACAGATAAACATCTTTCTGATATTCTCTACTTTCAGTCAGGATTCATCAGCAATGATATCCCTCGTTCCACACCCTCTTCTGAATCTGGCTTGACCCTCTGGAAGTTCTCTGTCAATGTATGTATGCTTGCAGTTTTTCCTGTATTACATTTAGTAAAACTTTACTCACATGGGACATCAAAGATATTGTCCGATGATTTCCGCATTGCATTGGGTCACCTCTCTTTGGAATGGGCATAAATATGGATCTCTTCAAATCAGTTGGCTAGATAGTTGTCTTCCAAATTTCTTGGCATAGATGAATGAGTGCCTCCAGTACTGCCTCACTTTGTTGAAAAGATTTTATTTTGTATTCCATCAATTCCAGGAGCCTTGTTCTTTGCCAATTCCTTCAATGCACCTTGGACTTCTTCTTCAGTATCACTGGCTCTTGATCATATGCTACCTCTTGAAACAGTAGAACATCAACCATTTCCTTTTGGTACAGTGACTCTTGTGTATTTCTTTCATCTTCTTCCAATGCTTTCTGCATCATTCAATAATTTGCCCACAGAATCCTTCAATAACGAAAGCTGAGGCTTGAATTTTTTCTTCAGTTCCCTCAGCTTGACAAATGCTGAGCACGTTCCTCCTTTTTGGTTTTTTGACTCCAGATCTTTGCATATTTTGTTGTAATATTTGACTTTGTCTTCTCGAGCTGATCTTTGACATGGTCTGTTCAGCTCTTGTACTGCCTCACTTCTTCCATTTACTTTAGCATCTCTAAGCTGGAGATGCTCTGGTAGTGTTAGTGGTTATGTATCGGGCTGCTAACCTCAGGGTGAGCAGTTTGAAACTACCAACCGTTCTGCAGGAGAAAGATGAGGTTTTCTGCTCTCATAAAGATTTTCAGCCTTGGAAACCCTATACAGAATCTATGTAGTCGGAATCGACTCCACGGCACATTACCACCACCACCAAGCTGGAGAGCAAGTTTCAGTGTCTCTTCTGACATCCATTTGGATCTTTTCCTTTTTTCTTGTCTTGTTAATGACATTTTATATTCTTCCTGCATGATGTTCTTGATATCATCCCACAATTCTTCTGGTCTTCAGACTTCAGTGTCTAATGTATCAAAGCCACTCTTCAGATGACCCCTAAATTCAGGTGGGATATATTCAAGGTCATCTTTGGGCTCCCATGGATTTGTTTTCATTTTCTTCAACTTCAGTCTGAATTTGCATATGAGCAATTGATGGTCTGTTCACAATTTGCCCCTGGCCTTGTTTTTGCTGATGATATGAAGCTTTTCCACTGTCTTTTTCCACAGATGTAGTCAATTTGATTTCTGTGTATTCCACCTGGTGAGGTCCATGTGTACATTCGTCTTTTATGCTGTCTAAAAAAGGTATTTGAAATGAACAAATCATTGGTTTTTCAGAATTCTATCATGCAATCTCCAGCATCATTTCTATCACCAAGGCCATATTTTCCAACTACTGAGCCTTCCTCTTTGTTTCCAACCTTTACATTCCAATCCCCAGTAATTATCAATACATCTTGATTGTATGTTTGAGCAATTTCAGATTGAAGAAGTTGGTAGAATTCTTCAATTTCATCCTTACTGGCTTCAGTGTGTAAATTTGAATAATAGTGGTATTACCTGGTCTTCCCTGTAGGCGTATGGATATTATCCTATCACAGACAGCATTGTACCTCATGACAGTACTTGATAAGTTCTTTTTGACAATGAATGCGATGCCATTTCTCTTCGATTTGTCATTCCCGGCACAGTAAACCATATGATTGTCAGATTCAAAATGGCCAATGCCAGTCCATTTCAGCTCACTAATGCCTAGGATATCGATGTTTATGCGTTCCATTTCATTTCTGACAATTTCCAATTTTCCTAGATTCATACTTCATACATTCCATGTTCCAATTATGAATGAATGTTTACAGCTGTTTCTCTTCATTTTGAGTTGTGCCCCATTAGCAAATGAAGGTCCCTAGGTCTTTACTCCCATGGACTTTACTCCATTCGCATCATCACGGTCAACTCTACTTTGAGGGGGCAGCTCTTCCCCAGCCACATTTTCAGTGCCTTCCAACCTGAGGGGCTCATTTTCCGGCACTATATCTGACAGTGTTTCTCAGCTGTTCATAAGGTTTTCAGTGATTAAATATTTGGAAGTAGTTCGTCACTCCTTCTTCCTAGTCTGTCTTTGTCTGGAAGCTCATCTGAAACCTGTCCACCGTGGTGACCCTGTTGGTATTTAAATACCAGTGACATAGCTTCCAGAATCACAGCAACTCACAAGCCACCACAGTGCAACAAATTGACAGATGAGTGGTGGTTTCTTCCCTAAGTACACCAAATTTACCAGTCACCAAATTCCACCTTCAAACAGGCCTAGAAGAAGAGGCAGAAGGGAAGTAACACTTCAGTTTTCTGAACAACTTGGCATCCTTCTAAGGTTGTGTCCATTTAAGAAGCTTCAAAGAGATTCTTCATTTAGCCCCACCAGGGAACTCGTTTGCATATGGCTTAACAAAGTAGGAAACTAACACAGAGGGGCTGGACAGACATCTAGCTGCTATTCATAAATACAAAGCATCAACAGGTGTTAGAAGCTAGAAATGGACGTTTAGTGCTGCCTGGGGATGGGGGCGGTGGGTGGGTAGACCTAAGGTAGAGTTTACTGTGACAAAAGTTGCTTGTCCAGAGCAGGTTTTCGTCATTCCTTTTATAGAATTATCATGTTCTTCTTTCTGGATGGTCTTTTCAGAAGTAGGAGGATTTTCAGTGATAACCACGATCTCCTCAAGTTCAAGAAGTCAGATTTCACAAGTCACCTGATAACATAAGGTGCGGCACCATCTCTTTGCTCCCTTAAAATCCAAAATTTCTTTACTAAACATTTCCTCCATTCATCCAAATGGCCCACTTATAAAAGTAAACACACACACAGAGACTGGCAAAGGAAATTAATCAAATGAGAAAGACAGACTCAAACAGGGAGAAAAAGAGGATACACTTTGTTCTCGGTTCTGGTTCTAAATCTGGCAGGAGGTGTGAAGGGCTGGCAGCTTGGAGGAGGTATTGGTGATAGTAGTTTTGATGCCAGCAGTGCCAACTCCCTCTTCCTCCTGCCTCAGGGCGGCAGGCCAGCAGCCACCGTTCTCTTAGGAACCAGAGGGAGAGTGGGTGGCATGCAGGAGCAAAGGAAAGATGCTCCACCCATCAGGACGCTTCACAAACCATAGCCAAGCCTCAGTGGTTAATGTGAGAGTCAGCCCCAAATTCTCACCCAGGCCTGTCACGTCTTTCAAGCTTCAGTTCCACAGTTTCAATCCCACTCTTGGCAGCTGCATTGAGTTGGCTCCCAAAATTGAACCTATCCAAAATCAAAGCTGTCCTTTTTGCCAAATAGCCCCACTTCAACTTTTCCTTTTCCTCTAGGTTCTGAATCTTGAGCCTGCCTGTGTGATTCCACTCCAAACTCCAATCATTTGTTGTGTTGTTAGTTCCTGCCACGGAGTGAGTTCCTACTTATGGTGAGCATATGTAGAACAGAATACATAACCCCTACTACCTGCACCAAATCATCTGCTAAGATCCTACAATTATCCCATCCCTTGACCCACACCTCCTTTCCATTCTCACTGTCATCTTCCAAGTCAAGGTACTTGTCTCCATTCACTGAGCAGACACCTGGCTAGACTCTCTTATCCCTGCAACCCATCTCACCTCTATCCCACAATCACAGAAACTCTTTCCAAAGCATTGCTTGGATCATAAAACAAATCTGCTTTTTAAAAAAAAAACAAAAAACTTTCAAAGCTTACAGCAGGATAAAGTCAGATCCAAGTTAGTTTCTCAGCTTTATCTCCCACTCCTACCTAACACACTCCCTGTGACCCCCCCCCCACACACACACACCAGACTGATCTCTTCAAGTTCAGATTCCCCCACACTGGGACACCTCCTGCCTCCTTTCCTTCTGCATTATGGGACAGCCAGGGAGAGGAAAGCAGGGGAGTCTTGGGAGATACAACATCCAACTTAAGCAACCATCTAAACTGAGAGACATTTCCTTGCTGAAATTCTAACATCTAATTACAAATTCAAAAGCCCACTCCCAAATCCACTCCCCACATCTAGATTCTAGGCTTCACCAACCATCATGTGTCATTTTCCTTCCACAACTTGTCAGATGGATCTTTAGTGCTGGGGGGACATCAACCCAAGTCCTTCTCCCACCTTTCCAGTCTCCTACTTGGCATAGAGAATTCACAGAACATTAAATGAAAACTGTTCGGTTTTCACATGGCATAAACCCACTGTGGTGCAGGCGAGTTGGGGGTGGGGTGGGGAAAGGATCATCTCGGGGAAGCCCACTGCCTTCTCCTGATACCTGGCCAGCTGTGGCGAGCAGTGTTGTTCCTCCCCAGAGAGGCACTAAGCCACACCCCCACCCCACGTCACCACCTCAGAGCGCAGAGCTTAGGGAAGCCCACGCAAGCAGGGAGACTGACGGTGGGGAGGGCTGGAAGGAAGAGGGGGGAATTAACTGCTCACCTACCTGATCAAACAGGACTTTCCAGTGCTGGCAGAGAGGGAGGCCATGCAGGCAAAAATGAAGAAGAGAAAAAGAAAGAAACACAGACTTATCACCAAGGCCTCTGTAGCTCTCTGAGGTTTCCAATGTAGCTTTCCAGCAGCTGCCTAGAAGGCAGCACAGAGATCAAGGAAAACCTGAGAGAATCTCCTCCCCAACACAGTTCGCTGAGCAAAGAGAGGGAACTCCCCAGATGGGGGTGGAGGGTAATTTCTAGTTCTGGGACAGGCAGGTGGAGGGATGAGCGAACAAGGGCGATTCTCAACAATTACCAAAAAAGCTGTCCAACTCTGTCCAACTCCCTCTAACTTCTGCTGCCTACATCTCACGTCCGCTCTGCATCCAGGCCTGGGAATGCAAGCTGAGTGCAATTCCATGAGACCCTGCTGGAGTCGTTCTTAACCTGCTTGGGGGTGGGGGTGGGGGGCAGAGACTCAGTCTCAGGAAGTGCTAACATTTTGCCTGTGATATGAGGGTGGAAGTGAATTTCCTGAAGTCCATTCTTTCTGAGTGAAAGGGGTTTGGGGCCAGAAGGAAATGATAGGTTTAATCAGGAGCAAAAGAGGAGACAAGACCTCAGGTTCCGTGGATTGTGGGGCCTGGCTTCACTCCTATGTCCCCACCCTGAGGGAGGGATGGGGCAGGGCGGGGTGTGTGCTCAGTGTTTCTCCAATTTTCAGGTTGATTCCGGGAGGGAGACGCTTAAGAAACTTCAGTTTCCAGGTCCCAATCCCCACCCCCCACCCCAGTGCCGGCTCTTCGGATGGTTCCCAGACCAGAGGGAGGGAGACCTGGGTATCAGATGGCGGGGAAGCCCTCTGGGGCAAAAACCTTCCGACCCACCCTCAGGGAACCATCCCTGGCACCGGCACTGTCACGGACTCAGATGCTTGAGTCCCCTTCAAAGAACAAACCGCCCCAGCCCCCCTACCCTCCCTCCCTCCTTCGGCGGGGTTCAGAGATAAGGATCAGATTGAATTTCAACCACTGTAGCGACAGGGCAAGTGTCTAGAGAGAGAGCTAATTTTCGAGTGGAGAAGGGGGTCGCCAGACCCATCTGCGCTGAGGAAGGTCGGGGACCCGGAGGTGCTCGCTCCTTCTCCAGGCTCCCAGAGCCCGCAGGTCGCGAGTGGGAGGGGAGGGGGAGTCACTGCTGTAACGCGGCCGCCTCTGCGGGAAAACGCCGCGTCCCGGGCATTGCACCAGCCGCGGGGAGGGGGCTCCGGCGTGCAGCCGGAGCTGCGGGTTCCGGAGCAGCGTCCCGCTAGGAAGCCTCGGGAGCGCCAGCGGGGTTGACGCGCGCGTGCGTTTAGGGGAGACCGGTTCCTCCGCCTCCTCGCGCCCGCAGGGACCCGGCCAATCCGAGGCGCTCCCGCGTCACCTTGAAAACCTCCAAGTTGCCCTGCGGGGGCGAGACAGGGGCAACTCTTCGGCTACCATCCCCCAGAAAGTTTGCCCGGGCGGGGAGGGGGCACTCACATCCTCCGGCGCCGCTGGCAGTGGCTCCTCAGCCTCGGGTTCCAATTCCTCGATGCGTTCCGCCTCGGCGCAGGCGGCCACTGCGGGTCCGGGGCTGGGGTGCTCGCCCATGGCCGAGACGGGATCCAGGGGCGGCAGGCGGCTTCGGGGCTCTTCCCGGGGTTCCGGGCTAACTTTGCGCCGCGGCGGTCGCTCCGTTCCCGGGGTTCGGCGCGCACCGCGCCGCTTCCGCGCTAACCCCGTCACCCGTCCCCATGGCCCCGGCCCGCACCGCTGCCTACTCGCGACCCCCGGACGCCCGGCCCCTCTGCCACCAAACTTCTCCGCGCCCGTGGCACCGCCGGCCTCCACCACCTTCCGGCCCCCACGAACGGCTCGGAAGCGAGGGCGCCCTTGGGCCGGCCCGGCCCCGCCGCTCCCCCGCGCTCTCTTCCCGCTTCCCGCGGCCCCCGCTCTGCGCCCGAGTCTCCTCCTCCCCGCGGACTCCTCGGGGGCGGCGCGCAGGCGGGGGCGGGGCTGCTCGCGGGACCGTCGTCCCCCGCCCCCCCTCCACACACACACACACACACACACACACACCCGGGCGCCACCATTCTGGCCAAATCGGTCAGAGCTGCGCGGCCCGGAGAGGAGGTGGGCTGCGACAGGGTTGGCTGAGATGTGGCTGCATGGTCCGGGGCGGGACTGGGGACTGCACTGACCCCAGCCCGATCACCACCAGCAACCTCCATCTCCGGCCCGGACCTATCTGTCCACAAAGGGCCCAAGGGAGGAGTTCTGCTTCTGAGACCCACCTCTGGTTGGCGGCAGGTGTGTGCAGCAGGCAGAAGGAGGGTTTCACTTAGTTGGCAACCAACGTTGGGGTTAACTGGGAGTGAATTGGGGAAGGGATGTGTTGAAGACCGGATCCCCCAGCTATCCTCCCATCTCTATTCACTAGGGTCTCTGATTTTGGAGGCATGGAAGACCTAGTCTTTTAGGAAACAGAGAAAGCAGGTAGGGGGATGCCCGGACCCCAAACCCTACTTCGTGTCCTTCCTACACTCAGGGCTAAATACTTTCGTTTGATCAGGTTGACAAAGGTTAGCCCAGGGAAATGCCCTCTGCAGCAGGGAGAAAGAAAGTAAAGAAACTAAAGCCAGCAGGAATGAGAGTATGAGATCTATTGAAAAAAAGCAAGCAAAACCGAAGCTGTTTTCCTGTAGGAAAGAGCCCACAGGATATACCATCTTCCTGAAGCAGATGTGCCTAATCGGTGCCAGTGGTGGCTGGATAGGTGCCCAGCTGTCCCCAGGGAGGCTCACAGGCTGGGCTCATTCCAGGTGAGTTCCCCAAACCTCACCAAGGCTTTCACTCCTCTTCCCAACACCCACTCAAGCACACTCCCTCTCAGAATCCAGAACTCTTGCAATAGTGAAAGTTGCGATTAATGCTCGAATCTTCATAAAGCAAACATTACCCCCCAGTCCCAAGGTCTGACCTGTGGCCATCCTACCAGGAAATGACTGCTCCCCTGAAACACAGAGGAGGAAATTAACTCCGTTCTAATTAGGTGAATTTTCTACAGACACCAATTTTCATCTCTGTTTCAGAAAGTGTGATCATTTCTCGACTATTTTTGTTTCTCACCACCCCCCTCCCCAATTCCTACTCTACTAACAAGTCAAGATCCTGCCAAGATTTTCTTGTAAATAAAACTGTCTACATAGGGTGTGATTTTGAAAACAGCCTTCAGGGGACAGAAGACAGGCTGACTCCGCTGTAGAAAGAAACCCAGAAAGACAAGAGGGTACTGGGCCCATCTCTATCCTCCACTGTCATTTGCATGACCCACTGAGTGCTGGCTCTGATTCACTTGCATTCTAAGACCTGGAGAAGTGGGCCAGGAAGCCTGGCTCTAGGGGAACCAGGGGAAGAAGGGCTGAGAGAGGGGTTGACCCCTCTACTGAGATGCCCAGCAGCCCTGGCCATGTTCTGACCCCAGCTGCCCCTTGGTTTCTGCCTCTTCCCCAGCCCAGGGACAGCACTTATCAACATATTCAATTCTGTCTGTCATTCCCTCAGGTGGAAGGGATCTCAGTTTAGTTCTATGGGAATTTACTAAACACTTATTGTCAGTGATAAAGCTTTGGGAATAAAATGATAGATAGGACCCAGACCCTGCCCTCCAGAAGCCATTTAACTGGAGGTGATAACCATGATCAACACAACTTCTGGGTCAAGGGAAGTCCAGAGGGTGTAGAAGCCCAAAGAAGGAGGTCTCTATAGGTCCAGGAAGGTTTCCCAAAGATACATGCCACCAGAGATGAGTCTTAAACACTTTAACCAGGCAACATGGGGAAGGTGAAGGGAGACATTCCAGGCAGAGGGAACAGCATGGGCAAAGCTGGCATTAAGCAGCATGGAATTGGAGGGAACTACAAACAATTTGGCAAGGCTGGAAAATAGAACAAGATGCTTAATATCTAAAGAGCCCAGTCTGAAAGGGAGGGTTGTGGAGGACTGTGAGTTTGGACTTTGCCCTAAGGGCAATAGGGAGCTATTGAAGAATTGTAGGTAGAAGAGAGTAACACTTTCAAAGATTCCCCTGACTACAGTGTGGTAGATGGTCAGGAGGGGAGTTGGCCTGAGGATAGGGGGCTGGGAGGTGTTGTCAGAAGGAAGAGGTGATGAGGACATCACTGGTTAGAATCAAGGGGACGGGGTGAGGGTGGGGATTTGCGAAGTGTGAAAGGGCATCTTGCTCTTCTGTCCATCCCATTTTGGAAAACAAACATGTTATCAAAAGTCTCTAGGAAAGAATTGCTGATCTCTAACCAGATCCTCTCCTCAGGAGGCTGCTTCCTTCCCTGGTCCCTGCTGGTCATGTAAGGCTTAGAGACTGTTAGGATTAGTCATTGTATCCAACATCCTCTGTGAGACCCACACTCTGAACTTCTTCATCCTCTTTGTGGCCTCTCTCTCTCCCTCAGTCCCAGGTGAATCTGCAACTAACTATGACCCAGATTCCCAGCAGAGAGTGGGAAATGGAGCCTGAGGCTGGAAGGGCCTGATGGGTGGATAGAGAGGCTTCCCCCAAGCCCAGAAACCTCCAGTAGATGGGAATGGCCAGGTTACCTGACAACTTTGTCTCACCCCAGTCTAAGACAATCTAAAGATGGTGGATGTTCTACGCCCTATTGGGGATAGAGGAAGGAATGGTTGTGGCCTCTACTCACTTTCTCTGAATGCTGCCAGGGGCCAGACACTTGTAGATGAACCCCATCTGAAGGCAGACAGCAGCAAACATTCCTGCTTTTTACAAGTGCTTCTACTTCCATTGCTTTCCTCCAGTCCTCCTAAGAGAATGCTCTAAGCCAGTGTAGGACAGGATGAAAACAGTTCAAACTCCAAGAGTTCAAGCCCAATTCACAGGGACAGGAGTGTGCTACTAAGATGAGCCTTGGTTGAACAAGAGTAGGTTTGGAGCTTGTTGTTGTTAGGTTAAAAGAAAGAAAGACACATGGGGCAACTGTAAGGAAGAGAGCGTGGAAGGGTTTCTGGAAGAAGGGAACTGCTGTAACCAAGGCACAGAGATAGGAAAACCGCTACTGATTGGGCACAAAGGATGTCGAGGCAGGTGAGGACCATGGCACAAAAGTCCTTGAGTGCCAGTTGGAGGAGGCTGGTTCTCGCTCCATAGACCACGTTGGAGCAGGGATGGCTTCAAACTGGAGGAGCATTTTAGGAAGATTAACTTGGCAGAAACTCAACAGCACAATTCATAGAACACATTGCCAGTGTCCATCATTTGCCAGCCCCTGGCCGAGGTGCTGAGAATACAGAGCAGTCAGACCCAGGTCCTGGCCTCCTAGGAGAAAATGAGATACATCTCTAATTACAGCTCAGTGGGATAAGGGGGAGGAAGCAAGAAAGAGTCATTTGGGTGAGATTCTAGGATGCCCCCATGAAGAGATGAAGACTTAAGAAAGAAAGAAAGAAAAAAAAGATCTAGTGTTTGGAACCAAAAACAATGGGGCTTCAGTTGGTGAACCAGGCAAACCAGGAGGAGAGGAGTGAGGAGTTTGTTTGTGGACACCTTGAGCTAATGAGAATCCAGAGAAGAAACACCCAGGGCTATAATATAATTACCACTCCACAGAAACGGCAGTCTTGAGAAGGGAGGTTAAGGAGGGGTGACTTCCACCACCACCCCCAGAACCTCTCTCACTTGGGTCTTTGTTTTCAACAGTTTCCCATTCTGATGACTCTCTCATCCAGGCTCACACACTTTGAAGCTCTTTCTCTCCCTAAAAAGAACCTAAATCGACCCTGGCATTCCCGTGTCCCCACCTGTAGCACCAATCTTTGGAGAAACCGACGAACCAGCTCTGAGCTGCCGCCCTTTGCCTGGCTGAGATGAAGACGTGAACTATTTTTGACTGAGATCCAAGCCCCAGACCTGAATTCCTTTGTCCTCCAGGAATCCCCCATCACGTTTGAAGTCGGCAAGTCAGAACAGCAGAAGAGCTCAGGAAGGAGAGCACCACTTGGAATCCAAGCTCCCTCCATCTCCATCTCCAGCATTCTTCCATCATTACCCAGTTGTCTGGGAGATCAAACAGAACAAGGCTGCTAAACGGATCCTCCTCTCCTCCCCCTTTTCCTTTCGTCTCTTCCTTTCTCACTCCAGGTCTCCACTGTTCTGAGTAACTCAAATCATTACTGAAAGATGTCTAGATTTACAGACACTGAACCCTGTTCAAAAAGAGGCATGGGCACCCAAAAGTTCAGCTAAGACAGACAGAGGAAATGTTTCTTATCCTTAGGTTTAGCCAATCATACCTAAAGGGAAACTGTCATGTCTCATTTCCCTTCTCTACCATCTGCTTGGAGCTTGACCAATCCCCAAGATTCCATTTCGGGATTCTCTTTGGACCTCAGCACATCTGTAGCACCTTGGTTACACTATAGGTAGGTCCTGTCATCCCAAGAGGAGTCGTGGAGTGGTGTAAATGGTTAAGCATTTGGCTACTAACCAAAAGGTTGGTGGTTAGAGTCCACCTAGAAGCACCTTGGAAGAAAGGCCTGGCGATCTACTTCTGAAAGATCACAGCCATAGAGAACCCTGTGGAGTG